GGAAAGCCAAAATGAGAACAATCAATGTATTCCATCTTTTTATGTTGAAATAAATGACAAATGGGTTGAGTTTTCCATCCATTTTATTTAACATTTTTTTTTAATTATAATATGCCCAAAAGACAACTTCTGATTTTCCTCTTCAAAGTTGCTTTACCTGCAGTGTTTCTCAACTAGGCTGTTGGAAGTTCCAAAAAAGCTGGACTCCTTCTCGACTCACCTTTCTTCTTTCATGTCCCACAGACTACCCAGTAGGAAAACTTGGTGACTCTCACTTCAAAAAGTAGCTAGAACCAAATAGTTTACCCCACTCTCACTACCACCACCATAGTTCCAAGCACCAGGTTGAGCTGCACGGATGTATGCAACTAGCCAACATCCAGTCCCCTCTGCTTTCATTCTTGTCCCATCCTATCCCTGAATCCTTTCTCAAAATAGAAATCCAGATTTTTTAAATGTTTAAATAAAATCGTGTTGTTTCCTTGTTCAGACAAAATCTTGCAACAGCTTCTCATTTCACTCACAATAAACGCCAAATTCTACCAGGCCTTACATAATTTGGCCCTTTGTTACCATCTGGTCTCATCTTCTAGCCGTAATCTCACACTCACTTTGCCCAAGCCATTCACAGTTTGACTGCTCCTCAGAAACATTGCATGGATTATTCCTGTCCACTAGATATCCTCAGCATTTTTCAATCATTTTACTTCCTTCAAGTACTGCCCCAAATTAAGATATTACCTTCTTCATGAGGTAATATTTTGAAAGCCTATTAAAAATAGCTGACAATCTCTACCCTTACTTACATCATGACAAAAGCCTGTATTTTCTTTCTATTTTTCCATGCAGTACTTATCATGTCCTAATGTATAGCTTTCTTATTTTGAATTTATGTCTATATGTGCTGTTTAGAATGCAAGCAACACAAGGGCAGGAATTATTGTGTTTTTTTCAATGATGTATCCCAAGCACTTAGAGTAATGCCTGCTCTAAGACAGTACTCAAATATTTGTTCAATAGATGAAATGGGCATGATTCTCTATCACTACACATTTAACCATCCAGAAACCAGTTTACCCCTTAACAGAGTTAAAGAAAGTATTTTGAAACATCAATCTGATTACATTCAGATAATGAGGATGGCACCACAATCAACCATAATCATTCATTCTTGTGGAGTATGTGAAACAGGAGTACTAATTTGGGCACAAGTTCTGAGGTGGGCTTTGTCTTGAGCTAGCAACGTAGACATGAACCATCTTTTCCCCAGCTGGATCCTACCTTCGGTCTCCATAAAAAGGAGATAACTCGGTGGTGGGATCAAGGTGGCCGACTAGAAGCAGCTACATTCCGAGGCTCCCACTGGAAAAAACAAACAAACAAACAAACAAAAACATAATAAGCATGTGAATCCTTCACCAGCAACCAAGGTATCCAGGTTCTCTCACCAAAATTGACTGTAAGCCTGGTATGACTCCCAGAGAGAAGGAAGAACAGTGTGGTGCTGCGGCCTACCTGAGAGCCACAAAGGGAAGGGGAAACCCCTCCCTCCAGCCAGGGAGGCAGTGAGTGAGCACACTACCCAGCTGGCAACACTGTGCTTTTTCCATGGAGGTATGTAGCCCACTAATCTGAAGATCCTACTCGCGAACCCACGCCACCAGGGCCTAGCGTCCCATCCCTGGAACATGCACATTCTTATAGCCCCTCAGCCCGAATCTGCTTAGCCTACCGAACTCCCAGTGAGGAGGGGCGGCCAGCACCTCTGTCTGTCTAAGCCATTTGAGCTCCTTGGGAGAGGAGCAACAGCCATCACTGCCACTGGCAACTGCCTAACACGCTAAGCTCCTGGGGTGGGGGAAGAGTGGCACTGATTTCTATAGTTCCAGGCTGTGCTTTCCCCTTGCTGGAACCAAGGAGTCTGGACTTCATCCTGAAACACATGGGCTGTGCCAGACTGTGGTCAGAGTGTCTTTTCAGGCCTAAACCTGACCCATCCTTCCTCATAGGATGAGGCTTCCCTGCAGGATCTCCAGTAACTCCAGTGATAGAATTCTGATCTCCCTGGGCCTGAGTCCCTAGCAGGAGGGGTAGCTGCAGTCTCTGTGGGCCAGCAGACTTAGCCTCTCCTCTTGGCAGTTCTGAGTGATCCAGACGGCCCAGACGACTGCGTTCCCCTCCAGCAAAGCACATCTCTCCACCAGCGGATAAAGTGCCTCATTAAATGGGTCCTGCTCCCCATGCCACCCAAATGAGTGAGACCCTCCAATAGGGGTTTTCAGACGCCCTGTGCAGGAGCAATCCTACTGGTATCAGGTTGGTGCCTCTCGAGGACAGGGGACCCAGAAGAAGGAGCTGGCACCCATCTTTGCTGTTCTCTAGCCTCTTGAGTGACATCTCCAGGCACCAGAGCAAATCAGATGAATAGTGCCTGAACTGAACCCCCAGAAAACTGCAGTAGCCTTACAAAAGAGGAATCTGACTATTGAAAGAAAAATGAACAAGCAGAAAGCAACAACATCAACATCATCAACAACAACAAATACCCCCACAAAAATCCCATCTAGTGTCAGCAGCCTCAAAGACCAAAACTAGACAAACTCACGAAGATGAAAAAAAATCAACAAAAAATTCTGAAAACCCAAAAGGTGAGAGTGCTTCTTCTCCTCCAAAAGATTGCAGCATCTCTCCATCAAGGGCACACAACTGGACGGAGTGTCAGATAGACAAGTTGACAAAAGTGGGCTGCAGAAGATTAGTAATTAAAATCTACACCGAGCTAAAGTAGCAAGTTCTAAACCAATGCAGAGAAGCTAAGAATTTTGTTAAAACATAACAGTGATTGCTAACTAGAATAACCAGTTTAGAGAGGCACATAAATTACTTGATGGAGCTGAAAAACACAGCACAAGAACTTCGTGAAGCATATGCTAGTATTAACACCCAATTCGACCAAGTGGAATAAAAAGTATCATAGTTTGAAGACCACTTTACTGAAATAAGACATGCAGAGAAGAATAGAGAAAAAAAAATAAAAAGAAAAGCCTCCAAGAAATATGGGACTTCATAAAAAGACTGAACCTATGATTGATTGGAGCACCAGAATAAGATGGGGAGAATCAAAACAAGCTGGAAAACACACTTGAGGATATTATCCAGAACTTCCCCTACCTAGTAACACGTCAGCATGCAAATTGAGGAAATACAGAGAAGACCGTTAAGATATGCCATGAGAAGATCAACCCCAAGACACATAACCAACACATTCTCCAAGGTTGAAATGAAGGAAAAACTGTTAAGGGCAGTCATATAGAAAGGCCAGGTCACCTACAAAGGGGAATCCAAGAGACTAACAGTGGACTTCTAAGCAGAAACTCTACAAGCCAGAAGAGATTGGGGGCCAATATTAAACATTCTTAAAGGAAAGAATTTTCATCTCAGAATTTCATATCCAGCAAAACTAAGCTTCATAGGTAAATGAAAAACAAAGTCCTCTACAGACAAGCAAATGCTGAGGTATTTTGTTACCACTGGGCCTGCCCTGCAAGAGCTCCTAAAAGAAGCACTAAATATGGAAAGGAAAAACTGGTACCAGACACTGCAAAAACATACCAAAATGTAAAGACCAATGACACTATGAGGAAACTGCATCGACTAGTGTGCAAAATAAAAAATAGCATCATGATGACAGGATTAAATTTGCACATAATACTAACCTTAAATGTAAATGGGTTAATTCCCCAATTAAAAGACAGTCTTGCAAATTGGATAAGGAGTCAAGACCCATCAGTGGGCTGTATTTAGGAGACCCAACTCATGTGCAAAGATACACACAGGCTCAAAATAAAGGGATGGAGGATAATTTACTAAGCAAATGGAAAGGAAAAAAAAAGAAGCAGGAGTTGGAATGCTACCTTCTGACAAAACAGACTTTAAACCAACAAAGATCAAAAAACACAAAGAAGGGTATTACATAATGGAAAGGGAACAATTCAACAAGAGAACTAACTATTCTGAATATATATGTGCCCAATAAAGGAGCACCCAGATTCATAAACAACATCTTAGAAACCTACAAAGAGACTTAGACTCCTACACAATAGTAGTGGGAGACTTTAACACCCCATAGTCAGTATTAGACAGATCAATGAGACACAAAATTAACAAAGATATTCAGGACTTGAACTCAGCTCCAGATCAAGTGGACCTAATAGTTGTCTACAGAACTCTCTACCTCAAAGCAACAGAAGATACATTCTTCTCAGTGCCATGTGGCACTTACTCTAAAATCAACCACATAAGTGGAAGTAAAACACTCTTGAGCAAATGCAGAAAACTGAAATCATAACAAGCAGTCTCTTAAATGACAGTGCAATCAAATTAGAACTCAAGATTAAGAAACTCACTCAAAACCACATAATTTCATGGAAATTGAACAACCTGCTTTTGAATGACTCCTGGCTAAATAATGAAGTTAAGGCAGAAATCAACAAGCTTTTTGAAACCAGTAAGAACAAAAAGACAACTTACCAGAATCTCTGGGACACAGCTAAACCAGTATTAATAGGGAAATTTGTAGCACTAAATGTCCATATCAGAAAACTAGAAAGATCTCAGATCTACTTCCTAATGTCACAATTAAAAGAACTAGAGAGCAACTAATCCAAAAACTAACAGAAAGCAAGAATTAACTAAGTTCAGAGAAGAAATGAAGGCAATAGAGAAAAGAAAAACCCTCCAAAAAAATAAACGAATCCAGGAGCTGTTTTTTTTTTTTTTTTTTTGAAAAAATTATCAAAATGGATAGAGCATTAGCTAAGCTAATAAAGAAGAGAAAGAAGTATCAAATTGACATAATAAAAAAATAATAAAAGAGTTATTACCACTGAACCCACAGGAATACAAACTACCATCAAAGAATATCATAAACATCTCTATACAAATAAACTAGAAAATCTAGAAGAAATGGATAAATTCCTGGATGCATACACTCTATGAAGACTAACCCAGGAAAAAGTGAATCCCTGAATAGACCATTAACAAGCTCTGATATTGAGGTAGTAATTAATAGCCTACCAACCAAAAACAAACAAACAAACAAAAACAAAGCCCAGGGCCAGACAGATTCACATCTGAATTCTTCCAGGAATACAAAAAGGAGGTGGTACCATTCCTTCTGAAACTATTCTAAACAATTGAAAAGGAGGGACTCCTTCCTAACTCATTTTATAAAGCCAGCATCATCCTGATACCAAAACAGGGAAGAAACACAACATAAAAAGAAAACTTCAGGCCAATGTCCCGGACGAACATTGAAGCAAAAATCCTCAACAAAATACTGGCAAACTGAATCCGGCAGCCCATCAAAAAACTTATCTGCCACAATCAAGTTGGCATCATCCCTGGGATGTAAGGCTATTTCAACATATGCAAATCAATAAAGGTAATACATCACATAACAATAACCAAAGACAAAAAATGCATGATTAACAGTTTTAACAATTTTGAAAGGCAGGTTATAACTATGAATATTAATAGTTTTATAAACTAGATATCTAACATGTTTCCTATATAATCTTTGGCTTTTAAAAGCCCAAAGACCTATTTTGTGGCCATTTGAGACATAATATCCTCAGTCAAATTCCATGTGTAAATATTTCCTCTTATTCCCAAATTATCATATAACTTTTGCTTTTTACATTTATTTAGCATATTACCTATATCTTGGATTAGTGAATTTGATTCTTTTCTTGTCTAAGGTTTAGTAAAAATATTGTGTAATAGATATAGTCTCATAGATATTCTAAATATATTTGTATGCATATAAACCTCTTCATTAATGGAGAATTTATGTGAACATGTATTTCCGAGAAATGCTGGGACTTAAAATTGGATGGATCTCTACTATATGTTGCTAATTTTTCTTAAATTTGGGACATCTGCACCAAGATCTCATGAAGAGCTTATGGAAATGCAGAAGGAAAATTGGAAGGTTTGCTGAGGATTTTAATATTTCATTCAAATGAAGATTTTTCTGCTTTGTGGTGAATGATTACAAACTAGTGTCTTAACTATAACTGTCTGGCTGACATCTTACAATTCAAATTAGAAAAATCGTTTCTCATGTTCTAGTCAAGCTATACCATTCACAATCATATCAAGGGCAATTATTTCTTTCTCTGTTAGGTTTTATTTACATAATACCTGGTTTTGAAACCAGGCTATCTGGTTTCAAATCTCAAATGCCTACAAGACACACAGACACACAGACACACACACACACACACACACACACACACACACACACATACACACAAACACAAACAGACATACACACACACACACAAGGTTATAGGTATTTGGTCACAGATATTGTAAGATTATTTTTAAAATACAGTTTAAAATGTGGATATGAACTAATAGTAGCAGGTAGATGGATGAATAAATCATGTTTCCTCAAAGGATGGATGAGTGTCAACTAATAAAAATATATGAATAAATGATAAATAAAAATGATAAAGTCTGTGATAACATGAAAAACTAATATAAAACAAAAGAGGTAAACATACATCTATGTTGATTATATCTATGGATATATATGTATGCACATGAAAATTATTGATTTTCCCAAATTAAAAATCACAAACACTGTAATAAGCTGATGGGTTTAATTTGTTTTAATGGGTAAGTGTCTTTAACTTTTTGAACTTTATTTTCTTCACAGATACCTGAAAAAAATAATAATCCTTTGCCTTTCTAGTTTAATTGTTATTGTGAAGATGATATGAAGCAATGAAGATGTAAGAGTTTAGTTCATAATTAAGTGTTAGGAAGATACAAACTTGAAAAATAAAAGTGTTCAAAGAAGCTTCACTATTAAAACTAACCAATCAATCAATACTTTTCTTATTTCCTTTACAGCTAACACATAGTTTTGATGTTTTATATCATTTATGTTTTGGGAGGTAATTTTAAATAGTTGTGCTGGAATTATTTTCAGATTTAGGACAAGAATTTAGAATGAATAATTTAATAAAATATATACAGCTAATTTGTTATTTCCATTTTTTATTTAGTCATTCACTATTTTCTATTAATTTTTTTAAAATTTGGGACATCTGCACCAAGATCTCATAAAAAGTTTATGGAAATGCAGATTTCTGTGCATATTCTAAGTTGTATGGAATCAGAATGTCATGATCAAGCCTGATAATCTGTATTTCTGAGAAGTCCCTTGAGTCCCTGGAAGTGTCTTCCTTTGTGAACCAACATAAAATCCAATATGCATTTTATGCAAAATGAAAAAACTTAAAGTTTCTATCATTACGGGCCTCACAGTGCAGGAGATGGACAGTAATTTCATGAATACTATAAAGCGATGAGCCCATCTGAAGATGAGGAAGAGTGAACCTAAGAGAGAAGTGGTGATTGACATTCCTGACAGCAATCTCATGCTTCTTGATGGACTTGATTGAGGGTATTTGTAGGGATACGGAACATGGTGAACTTGGAAAGTAAGAAAAGTAACTTTCTAATTGCTTTATTTTCTGGATTTTGGATTTTAGATTTGGAAATCTGGATTTTGAATTTTCTGCTTAAGATTATGAGGGCATTGAAGAAATAGAGGAACAGAAATTCTTGAATAAGAGAAAGAAATGATTTTCTGACTAGGATTATTTATTGGGTGCAGGGGTTGGGAAGGCAACTAAGAGATCCTTAGAAATTGAGCAAGGACAAAAATCTTGATGACTATTATGTCAGGCCCCTAAATAGGGAGTAAGACAAATAGTAGTTGCAGCTCAAGGAGAAAACAAATGCAGTGATATATGCAGAGTTGTTCCTAGTATTTTCTTATTATCCTTATTTGTTACAGGTTTCTTAGTCATATTCTCTCTTTCACTCCTGAAATTGATAATTTGTGTATTCTCTGTCTTTTCTTGTCTGTTAGGCTACAGTTTTGTCAATTTTATTTATATTTTTTCAAAAAACCAGAACATTTTTTATTGTTTTCTCATTTTCAGTTTCATGAATTTTTGCTTTTAGCTTCATAACTTTTTTTTCCTTCTACTGCTTTGTGTTTATTTTGCTTCTCTTTTGCTAGGATTTTCAGGTGAGTGCCTCGATTTTGTTTTGAGGCTTCCTCTTTTATAATGTATGCATTTGGTATAATAAACTTCCCTTCAGGACAGTTTTAGTTGTGACTCTCAAGTTTTTATAAACTGCATTTTTATTCTCATTCAGTTCATTGCTCTTGTTTTTTAAAACTTCCCTTGGGACTACCTCCTTTACCTATGGATTATTTTGAAGTGTGTTGTTTAGTTTTCCAGCAATTAGAGATGTTTTTATCTTTTGCTTATTAGTTTCTAGTTTGATTTCACTGTGTGTCAAATATTAGTAACATTATATATCACTTCAGTTCTTTAAAAGTTGTTGGATGTTGGTTTAATGTAATAAAATATGCTCTACTCTATAATATCTTTCAAGAAAATGTTTAAAGAATGTCTATTTTTCTGCTGAGTGGAGCATTCTAGGAATGGCAATTATAGTCTACTTGTTGATGTTGTAGTTGAATTATTCTGTATCCTTGCTTATTTTCTAGCTAGTTAATTTATTAATTACAGAGACAGAAGTATTGAATTCCCTCATTACAATTATTAATTTATTTCTCCTTTAAGTTACACCAGTTTTTTTTTTTTTAATTTGTTGTAGCTCTGTCACCTGGTATGTACACTTTTAGGATGGTAATATCTTCTTCAGGCACTAACCATTTATCATTATATAATTTCTCTCTCTTTTTCTCATGTCTACTTTATTTGATATTGATATAGCCACCCCTGCTTCCTTTTTACCAACTTTTTCATGCCATATATTTTCTCATCTTTTTTATTTGAATCCTCCTTTTTAACACTGTAACCTCTGCCTCCTAGGGTCAAGTGATTCTCCTACCTCAGCCTCCTGAGTAGCTGGGAGTATAGGCCCACACCACCATACCCAGCTAATTTTTGTGTTTTTAGTAGAGACAGAGTTTCATCATGATGGTCAGGCTGGTCTTGATCTCCTGACCTCATGATCCCCCCACCTCAGCCTCCCAAAGTGCTGGGATTACAAGCATGAGCCACCACACCCTGCCTATATTTTCAGTGATTTTTCTTTTTTTTTTTTTTTTTTGTAGATAGCATGTAGCTGGGTCATGTTAATCTACTCTTTCAATTTCTTTGTTTTACTTGAGTTCCTTATAACATTTAGATTTAATAACATTATTGTTATATTAGGGCTTATGTCATTTCATCTTCTTAAAATTTTTCTTTCATCTTTTGTTTTATCTGTTTTCCTTTTCCCTCCCCTGTGGAGTATTTGAATGTGTTTTAGAGTTCTATTTTGATTTGGCCTAAGTATTTTTAAGTGTATTCCTTTTGTATGCTTTTTCTGTGTTTGCTGTGGGTACTATATTATATGTGGGTATACACAACAAATATAAATTTACATATATTTAATATAAATGTATATGTATAAATTTAATTTATATATAGACATCTCATATCCCTTTACTATCCCCCACTTATAATTGTTTTAAAATTTTCCTTTACATGTATTTAAGTACCACATCTGACAGTGTTCTAATTTTCACTTCTACCATCAAGCCTAATTTAGGAAATACAACACAAGGGGCTTCTGTTGTATTTACACATATTTTTTGCTTACTGTGTTCTTTTCCTTCTTGTTTCATGTTTCATCTTTTGTGGCTTCCTTTATGTTAGAGGACTTCCTCTAGCCATTCTCTAAGGTAGGTCTGCTAACAAATTCTTTTAGTTTTCTTTCATCTGAGAATGTCTTAGTTTTCCATTTAATCCTGAAGAACTCTTTTGATGGAGACAGAATTATAGGTTGACATTTTTCTTCGTTCACCACTTGAAAATCAATGTGCTACTTTCTTTGGTCTTCACAGTTTCAAATGAGAAATCTATTGTCATTTGAATTGTTTCCCACCACCCCCCTGCCCACCCATATGTAA